TATTTTATCCTCATGTCAAATCGTTTTTAATTCTTGTTGATTCCTTAACTATCTCCATGTTCTGAACTTATCTGCTGCACTACAGGTTGTCAATTAATTGATAAAACGTGGGAGAGCTTCCGTGATGTTAAGGTCGAGGACCGCAGTTTAATATGGTAATTCCATTTTAGCACTTATCCTAATATTTCATGGATGTTCATTTTTTTACGCCTATTGGCTACATGTTTACAGGAACTCCGACTTGATTGAGACTATTGAGTTGGAAAATCTTTTGATAAATGCTTGCATCACAATGTACTCTGCTGAAGCTAGGAAAGAGAGTAGAGGAGCTCATGCCCGTGAAGACTTCAAGGTCAGTTTTCTATCACTCGTGCAAATTTCATACCATCAACGTGAATGGTGCACTTAACTATATTATGTTGGATTCTGCAGGTTAGAGATGATGAGAACTGGATGAAACACACTGTGGGGTAAGTCATGTTTCATACAGTTATTTGGTTTTCTATTTACAAATGCAGGCACTTGAGTAGTGATTTTTTTCTTTCCATTGGTAGCTTGATGTTATTAGGTAATTTGAATTGATGGAAAGGAATGGGAGTGAGTATGAAATAGAACTGGGATATTTGTTCCTATGCTTCGTTTGTAGAGATAGGAATAAAATGATGACACTCCTCCATCTTTATGTTTGTTTTTCGTTGGAGTGATTTAACCAGTTTTGACCCAACCAAATTTCTGGGTTTTGCTGGGTCTGAGTAGGTGCTAATTGTCTAAAAAAGCACAAATTTGAGACTGATAAAGTGTATCAAATGGGTTGTTGATAGGTATCCAGACTGTTACTACACACGCACAGAACTCCGAGACAGGTTCTTGGATGTTCACTAAGAAACCAGACAGTCCTGTTCTACCAATGTGGTAAGAACAGGAACCAACAATGAACAATTTTTAAGGTCTTTCGAGAGGACCTGTCTCTCCTAACTTTTCCCTTTACAAAATATTCCAAAAACTGTCTGCTCACCTCCTAGTAAGACTATTTATAATGTTACAGTTATGTAATTACAACTGTACTAACTAACTTCTTTTTCCCTTCTTTTGTAAACTATATCAAACCTATCAATACCCCTCCATGAAGATTCACCTTTTCTTCAAGGTGAAATTCTGGAAATTCTTTATGAATGCAGGAAGCAGATTCCCAACTATTCTCATTATCTGAAAGATGTTTCTATTTGAGAAGAACTTCTAAAGTCACCTTGAGGGGTCTTTCTAGTATATAGCAGTTGTTCTGGATATACTTCTAGAATATAGTCTTCAGTAAGTGGAGGAGGCATGGGCTGGGTAGATGTGGCTGGCTGCCCTCCCTGCTGACAAGTGATGCTACTTGTTAAGTCTGGTATCTCCCCTTTTGCTGTAACTCTGATTTTTTCCTCTACCATCTGAACCTTCATCATCAACTCAGGAAGATTTCTCGGTTCATACAACTTAACCTCAGCCTTGATATCCTCTTTTAACCCATTCAAGAAAATGCCTACCAAATAATCCTGTTGAATTTCAAGAACCCAGCATACTGTTCAAACTGCGCAATATAATCTTCCACTAAAACCATTTGTTGCAAGCCAATCAGAATTCCAAAAGGGGTTTTGCAGCATTGTTGGTTGAAACCTGCGAACAACAGCCACCTTGAATACCTCCCACGTAGGATTTGGATTGCAGGTTTTCTATCACTGAAACCAATTCAAGGCTTTCCCCTCCAAAGCAACCATGACAGCCTGCATTCTTTTCTCTTCACTGACTTCTTTCAAACGAAAATACCTCTCCAATTTGTTTGTCCAGCCATAGGCTTCCTCTCCTACAAAGGCAGGGATGTCCAACTTCCTCCATTTTGAGGAAGATAGGACGGACCCTCTTGTCATTCTCTCTACTGCCCTCACTTCCTCCATGTGTGACAAAGCATTATCCTCTGATTGTTTCGCAGTGGAAGACAGCTTCTCCACAACCACTATAAGCCCCCTAATCATATCTTCCAGCCGTTGGAACCTCCTATGATACTCATTATCCTGTTCTTGCACAATCTTTTCAAGTGCATCCAATCTTGATTCCATTCTTGTATTCACCATGCCCCAAACAGCTACCACAGCACCAGGAAAGAGACTCTGAATACCAATTGATAGGTACCCAGACTGTTATTTCACACACAGAACTCCAAGACAGGTTCTTGGATGTTCACTAAGAAACCAGACAGTCCTGTTCTACCAATGCGGTAAGAACAGGAACCAACAATGAACAATTTTCAAGGTCTTTCGAGAGGACCTGTCTCTCCTAACTTTTCCCTTTACAAAATACTCCAAAAACTGTCTGCTCACCTCCTAGTAAGACTATTTATAATAGTCTGTTACAATTATGTAATTACAACTGTACTAACTACCTTCTTTTTTTCTTCTTTTGTAAACTGTATCAAACTTATCAGTTGTGATATATTTTGTTGGTGAAATTGAATCCTCATTCCGTCATTTTTATGTAATAACTATTTTTAAAGCCGTAAATGCTTGGTGCTTGGTGCTAGTTGCAGCTGCAATCGTGGAGTTAAACATGTTAATGGGGTAGATCCATTGTTAATCTTCTTTCGGTCTTTGAGCCTTTTGTTTCTTAAGAGCTGGAGTTCTCTCAGCTCTCGTCCATCGTTGGATCATCCCAGTCGCCCACTAAGTTGATGCACTTGTGACTGGGATGATATTGTCATTAATTGAGCATGCTCCCTTTTTAGGTGGAAAATTAGCTGCTATTGTCTCTAATAGTGATCTTTTACTCAATGACAGTTAATTTAAAGATGTAAGAATCTGGTATTTTGCAACGCATTAGAGAAGTTGGTGTGAGGGAGATATTTTGGTTGTATTACTTAATCCTAACTCTGACCGGAAGCGTGATATTGTCTAGAAAACAACAATTTTAATTTAAGAATGTAGATCCGAGATGATCAAACAACCTATCATGTTCTTTCGAGTAAGAATTATGTCAGCTTGAAATACAAATGAAAGGGATCAATGTTTTCACCATGATCACTAAGGGATGATTAATCGATTCAATATTAATTAACCAGCTATTCTGAAAGATTAATGGGTGGAGTCGGCTAAAATGGAGCTGCTTGTACTATTTACAATTATTCAACTGAGGAAAAAACTGTGTCAATAAATTTCGTGTTAACTAAGTGTGCATTCATTTGCAGATACTGGGAGAACGAGAAGGTCCGGTTAGACTACAGGCCAGTGCATTTGAATACATTGGATGATGAGGTTGAATCATTCCCTCCCAAAGCTCGTGTCTATTGATTTCCTTGCTGATGGATGGTTAGACTTATTGTCAATGCTAAATGACAGGAACAAAAATGCAATAAATTTTATTTTTGGTGATTATTGTTGCATTCGTCATCAACGTTGATTCATATTCCTGTCATTCTCAAATAAAACTGTATTTGCAGCAAAGAATCATAGCAATACAATTCTATCTAACTGCTTGTATTTTGACAAGCTTTTTTCAAATTTACTATTTACCACGTTCGCGTCTCCAAGCTTATAATTTTCTAAGTTTCGTGCTTTCATAATTTTCTAATTTTAGTGTTTATGAATATTATTCTAAGTTTCGTGTTTATATTCGAAGATTGTTTATCTACTGTATTTTGGAAAAAGTGGCATGGCAGTCTCCTCTTTGTTACAGCTGTTATGCACAACTGTTCGGGCCCCCTAAAATGGTACTTCAGCTTCTCGTCAAGTTGTTTGAACCAATATGGAACCATATCCCTGAACCAAAAATCTGAGGCGTATATAATCACTTGTCAGCTGCGGAATGCCCAAATCTCCTAAAATATTGCTGGCTTTTCTAGATTATCATTTACGGACTACGCAATTCGAATAAACCGCGTTAGGTTTAATTCGAATATTTGCAATGTCAAATATGTAAATGGGAAAAGATGCAAAACAACGTTGAATGTATCAATTCTTGTGTCATTTAATCAAACTCCGTTTCAGAAAGAACGACGAAACGAATAGAGTAGACTTGTGACCCATTTATTAGATACCGGAGGCAAATTCGATTGAGTCTCATTCATCTTGCTTTATGTACACATTAGGTACATTACCTCCATTTTTAAAATCCACAAATTTGCACTGTTTTTTATTTATTTATCTCTCAAATATATTTTTGACCCTTTCTCTACCTTCCTGCTCTTCTAGAAACTCGTCTCTTTAATTTCTCATTTTATTTTGAGTAACATTAAATTTCTTCATCCTCTTTAAAAAAAAGTCACTCTCAATCTTTCAACTGCCCCTCTAATTCAGTCAATTAATGGAACGAAGAAAACATTTTTCACCATTTGAATTATTCCCCTCTATTTCAGTCACTCAACCATGAAAAAAACAATTTTACAAGAATAAAATATATTTTAAAATATTAAAATTAGAATCCAATCTTATTATAAAAACAAAGTGTCTAAATTTTAAGACGACTATATATATACATATCTATATATATATATATATATATATATATATATATATATATATATATATATATATATTAAAGCGTCATATCTTGCTATATTAATAATCTCAGCATAATCTTTCGATTGATCAAAATTTAAATTTATAAGACGCTGAATTATCAGAATTAAATTCGATGCCATGAACCATCATATATTAGTCGAGTCATTCAAACTGTAATTCTTGATCATATCTGACAGAATTTGTTAAAAATCTATAACCATTTGATTGTTCTTTCTGCTTCGAAAAGGATTAATCTAAAATATTAACAAATAAAGAGCACTGAAAAATATCTTGGTGTGCAAGAAGCAAAAAGATTCTGATGCAACATACGTGAAGGCTCCAAGTAGAACTGAAAATGACGCTGATATATACAGGTCAAATGAGCTTTGTTTTAACGTTTTTCCAAAAGGATGATACTTGTGAAGGAGGGGGGAAAATGGTTTGACAAAATCAATGCGTGCACCACAAAGATAACAACAACACGTAATGCAATACATAACATAATACAAAAGTCTATCTGTTTCCAGGGTAAAATCCAAAAAGAGCAGAAAAGTAAAAATCAACAACAACAATATCATAGCATGTTACATGGATACACCCCTCCTCATAGATAGCGTAATTAAGCGTTGGCACTGGGTTGATGCCTCGCTTTTTCCTTCTCCTTCACCTCGCTTCCCTGCGTCTTGTCATAAGCTTCATGTATATATACACACCAAACAAAAGAAGCCAATAATTAAGACAAACAAAACACAAGAGACAAATATATATACATGTCTGATAAGAAAACTAAACCTGGGTGATTTTCATGTATGCACTCATCCGTCTTGGGCATGGATTGTTTTCCACCATAAATTCCACCAAACCCTTCTTCATCACACCTCGTAGCGTACCCTTCCCCAAACGAATGAGACATCACATCTCTTCATAACATTCATCATAATTAACTCATTTCAGTATGTACAGAATCAAGAATAATCCACTGATTGTCTTTCACTTTTACAATATCTAATCTAATTAATAACATGGTTACTCTTAAGATCATCAATTGTTATCAAATGCGACTCATGATGTGTTATAGAATCTAGTAACATGGTAATGAATGAAATCGAGATATATTGTTTGAGCTCACCCATGTTTAGTTTCCTCGCTAGGTTTCTGACTCTTGTCCATGTTATGATCTCTACTGTTACTATCAGATTTGGTGCAGAATCTAACTGCGGAAGCTTCCCGACCGAGGTTGGAAGAGAGAGAGCGTGGGAGTGAAACGTGTTGATAGGTTAAAACCGTTTTGATGGAGTGAAGCATTGCTTTTTCTATGTCGAGAAGGATGGATCTTGTGGCAGAGGCAGTGTGGTAGTCCTATAATTTCGAACAATGCAAATCCTATTAATCCTCTCGTGCACTTAATCTGGTTCACATGCTTCAGAAAAAACATGAAGCACTTTCATGACATGACATGTGGTGTGTTTTGGACGTTTGTCCTTCACGCAGACCCTCACGTGGAGGGTTGTTGAGCCTTTTGCATGCAAAGAATATTTCAATTCCTTTGATTTGAAGACTGTCATTGTGTAACAACTGAATAAACGCCACGTCCACCAGTGTGAAGAATATGTATTCTATTCTAGATTATTCTTCCTTTCTTGGTATGGAAAGAGTTCAAATTCATCCCTTTCTGTATTTGTTTGCTAATTGCTATTGTAAAATAAGATATCCATGGTTCACCGTGACTGGACCCAGACATGTTGCAGAAGATCTTATTCTGGGCGACCTTCGTATTCTCAAAAATATTAAACAGTAATTAGTTTTAAGAGTTGGGGTCAAATATTAAATGAAAATAAAACAATATGAAAATAAACTTTTGGAAATGTAACTCAACTTCACACGATCGACTTTAACTTGTAAAACAAAGTTTCTAACTCCTTATATATTATAATATTTTTTATCTTAGAGTTTCCAGCAACATATTTTTTTAATAATATTTAAAGAATAAAGAAGTTTTAATAAACCGAAATCAGTTTATTTTACTAAAATATAATTAAGATTTACAAATTTTTAAATAAATACACTCTTGTATAAATGCTTTGAGAACTAATAGATGTGCGGCCAAAGTTTATTTTAATGAAAACAAAAATATATACTCATTGTTTCTTATATTTTTATTAAAAAAATTAAACAAAATGCAATAATATACTACTAATAAAAACAAATGAACCACTAAACTCTGTAAGATTTAAGGAAATTACATTTGAATAATATTTACCCAATTGTTTCTCATGCTTTATATGACTCGTTTTTTGTTTTGATATTTAGACCATAAAATATTTAAAATGATTTTTCTTTTACTTTTGATATGATGATTCCTCTTGATTTTGATTTTAATTTAGATGGTCTATCTTAATTGTCGGTCCAATCAATTTATTACAACCTTTTATTTTTGATTTAGAATTGTCGATCGCGCTTTTTGACTCGTCTTAATCTTTGATTCTAAACAATTTGTCTCGACTTTTAATTCAACAATCCGTTTTGATCTATAATGATAATTTATTTCAAATTTTATCCTAAAATAACTTGTCTCAATTATCAACTTGAATAATTTATCTTAATTTTTATCTAAAATAACTTTACTTTTGACTTTGATTGAAGATACTAATTTTAAAAATTGATTAAAATTTTATAACATAACCAAGCTCACTTTATCGATGTCTTAACCCACTTTTAAATAGAGTCGTAAAGATATATTTTTGTGTTCAGAAATCATCCTAAAAGTGATTTATTAATTAGGATTCACTCAAAAACCTTAGATAAAATTAACATCGATGTTCAAACCTTGACGAACATAAGTTGCCTAAAATTGTTGAGTCCAGCCGAGCAAGATTGAAAATTAAACCGTTGAGATAAAGCAAAATGTTGCAAAGCAACGAAATGGAGAAATTAGCACAAAGAGTGCCACTTAGATGTGAAGACCCTACACGCTACACGGTTGGACACTGAAGTCATAGGTTGTCGGATACCCATGCAATCAATAAGCTTACATTACTCTTTGAGGCCAAAAATAATTTCGCAATCTTATGAGGAGTGGAGATTGAAATTGTCGATTGATGATCATGGTTATGAAATTCTAGATTCTACATATTTTTTGTTCGTATATAGAATTATATATATAGTATATATAAACAAAAGAAGACAAAATAATTACGGAAATCGAAACTTTTCGTTTCCCTTTAACTTTCTCTTTGACATAGAAGAGATTCGAAAACAAGGTGTAATAATTTTATTTTTAAATAAAGCTAATTTTTAATACCAATAATAAAAAATAATAATAATATAATATAAATAATAATAATAGTGATGAATATAAATAATAACAATTTTCATTTTTATTAATTAAAATGTTTTTTTAATTTATCAAACTTATTATATCATTTGTTAACTTTTTTAAACTTTAATTTCAAATTCTCTCATTTCTCATTATTTTTCTCTTAATTGAAATAACTTCACCATCATCTATTTTCCTTTTTAAATTATGGATAAAAAAATTAACGTACATTTTTAGCATTATGACAAATATTTTTCTTTTTTTTTTTATATACTTCACTTCCATTTAGGTGATGTAGACCGGTTATTGTAAATAATGATTTTTTAACATTAATATAATTATATGCCTGAATCAAAAGTATTAATTGTTAAATTGGAACAACTTCTGGTTAAATGATTCACGAATTATAGTTATGGTTTTTACTTTCGTATTATATCAAATTAATCTATAGTCTATTAGTTAATTTCAACCACTCTTAAATAAGTTTTATTTTTCTTTGGTTTAACAAATGGTTGGATTGGAAAGATCCTAATCACTAAAATCCATACTTATATTTTAGAATCCGAGTTAAAATAGGTTTGATTTACTATAACATTTTAATAAAATTTTAAATATTTTTTCACAATAACATGTCTTCAAAGCTAATATCAAAATATTTTTTATTAATTATAAATTGATTCTAAATTTTTATTATTTTAAATTTAATAAAAAGTTTATGATTCAACTCAATTTATTTGGCAAGGTCAACTTAATCTAATTTAAATTTGTCATGAATAAACATTGTTTAATTCAAGTTTGACATTGGTCAACTTTGTCTCGTGTGAATTTACATGATATGTTTGAACTTGGTTTGACATCGATATAACATAAATCTAACTTAACTTGATTTGATGTGTGTTCAACTCAACTTAGTTAAAGTTCTACTCGACTTAACCAAAGGTTAGTTTGACACAACTCGGCCTAAGTTGGGCGAATCAACTTGGTTTGATGTAGGCCTAACTAGATTATGCTAGAGGTAGATTGGAGTTAACTTAGCCAAGATGGGCTAGTCTTAACTCATCAAAGATGAGAAAGACTCAACTTGACTAAAGGTGGACCTAACCCAACTCAACCAGAGGTGGCTCAACCGATTCAGACAATGGTAGGTTTGACTATACTTAACCTGAGGTGGGATTGATTTAACTAGGTCTACGATGGATATCTGTTTAATGTGGGTCTAAATCTACTCAACCAAATGTGGGCTTAACATAACTCAGTCAAAGATAGGTCTAACTTAACTCAACTCAACCTGATGTGGGCTCAACTTGCTTTAGCTTGAGGTGGGTCTAACTCACTTGAGTTAATTGTGGGTTTAACTCAATTAAGCTTGAGGTAGACCCTGAATCAACTTGACTAAAAGTAGACTTGACTCAGACCAACTCATGGTGGACTCGACATAACTTGGTCTGACATTATCCTAACGTAGGTCTAACTTTACTTGATTCAATGTGAGTTTGACTCTACTTGGTTCGATATAAGTTTAACTTGACTCTATCTAACATGAACTCAATTTAACTTGCCATAATATGAACCTTAATAATCTTTGCTTAACCTAAATCTAACCTAACTTGACCTCAATTCGAAGGACCTATATGACTTGGTTTAATCCAACCCTTTCTATTTTGGCATGAAACTAATTCACACAAACATGTTATCCCCTCAACTAAACTTTACCTAAGCATTACTTTACTTGGTCAACATGAGTCCAATTGAACTTGGTCTAACATGAACTGTATCAACTTGATCTATTTATCTAAAAGTGGATTCGAGCTTTATTTGGACTCAAATATAGCCTAACTTATCCTAACTCATGTTAGAACCTATGTTTTATAACTAAAAAACTTACTCATGTCACATATTTTAATTGCCAACAAATAAAAAAGTTAAAAATAACGTCACATCTTCAAGTTATATATATGACATATAAAACAAAAATAAAGAATGAAAAACTAGTCAAAATGACATATAATCTAAACAAAAGGTATAAAACTTGTCAATATTAATAGCTAAACCTAAACAAAAAGGTGAATATGACTTAATAAAATATAAGGAATAACGTATTAATGAAATTAAATTCTATACTCTTGAGTGTGATTAAAACATCTTACAAAATCAAGAAGACAACATTCAAAGATTTTAAAGATGATAATAAATAAAGTAAATAAATTTTTAATTCTTGCTAATTATTATTCATAGAATTTTGATTTATATTTATAAAAATTTAAATAAAAAAGTTCTTATCCTACGTGTTTTTTATCCTAATTTCATAATTAAGAAAAATATTTAAAAATAGTAAAACAAAAGAAATGATTTTTCTCTATTGTCATTTATATAATTGATCCTCCAAAATAATAAAGAATAATCACTAATAGAAAAAAAGTCAGAATATTTTATCTCATTGAATCTTTAAATTATTGTAAGCAATCTCTAACGGAGAAATATACACGTATTCTCTATCTAATATATATATATATATATATATATATATATATATATATATATATATTATATATATATATATATATAAACTTATAATTTTAAAATTTATTTCAACTTTTTATATTATGTATATGAAAAATCATTAACTTTTCTCTTTATATTTACATGAAATCATGGATACATGGGGTGAAAAGGGAAGTAAAAGCAATGGAAGCATATGACATGAAGAAACCTATTATTCCAAAGATAAAAAGGTTCAAGTTGTTATAATACATGAGATGCTAAGTGATTTTGGAGTGTTTGTCCAAAGAAGGTCAATGGGGTAGAAATAGGATCGTTGGTACAGAAGATGAAACCTAATAAGCTTTGTTAACCTTTTATTGACTTAATGAAAGAAAAAAAAAGGAAAAATAAAAATATTTGAATTTTATTTAATATATTTTATCATAATTTATCAAGTAAATTAATTTAGATTTTTTTATATTCTTTACATTATGTAAAAATAATTATTTGTTTTAAATTTCTAATATTTATATTTTAGAAATACTAAATATTATGTTTTAAGAGAAATTATAATAGAAAAGAATTAGTCATTGTTTTTTTTTTATTCTTACACAAATTAAATTAGGGTTAAATATGTTTTTAGTCCCTAAACTATCAAGCGAATTTGGTTTTAGTCCCTCTTTCAAAGTAAGGTACACACGTTAATTTTTGATCCTCGTGGGAGGACAAAAAATTAAGGTTTTTTTGGAAGGAGGAGGACTAAAATGTACCTTACCTTGAAAGATGAACTAAAAATAAATTCGCTTGATAGTTTAGGGACTAAAAACATATTTAACCCATTAAATTAATATAAAATAATTATAATTAATTTAATGATAAAATATAAAATATTATTGAAAAATTAACTTTTTTAACAGCATAATTTAATTAAATAAATATTTTTTTTATATTTATCTCTACTGTATTTAAATAATTTTCTTTTATCATTTTATAATTATTTTTATTTTGAGTATTTAATATATTATAAAATTTTAGTTTAAAATTTCTTTAAAAGAGATTTATTTATTATTACTATTTGAATTCAAATAATTACTCATTATAAACCTTTTTACACATTTATCATTTTAATAAATACTTTTCAAATTTAAATAATTACTCATAAAATAAAATATTTACAGAATATTCCTAATAGTAATTTTTATTTTAATAACTAAAATTCATTTTATATATAATTATATGACTATATTTTCTATATATATAATGATAATATTTCTTTTGGGGCACTTTACTTTTTTCTATTTTATTTAATATAATTGTGACATTTCATTTTAATAATATAAAACTACTAAAATTTAAAATGTTACATATACAATAATAGAATTATTAGATGAAAATAAACCTACTAAAAATCAGAGAAATCTATACATGTAGAACCATCTAACAACCTATCTGTTTTACACTCACTTTTTGTTGGAAACACTGAAAAAACGTCTTTCTAAGCTTACACCATTTAAATAATCATTACGAAAGAGAAAACAACACAAAAACAAGGATGAACTATAATACAAACAATTAATGTTATATATATAAACATTTAGACATTCTACACATGATACACATATCACAGCAACAAACTAAATACTTTATGCATGACCATACTTTGACTAGACTGTCCGAACTTAGAATGAATGTTGAGCTATGACGAGTTATGCACTTGGGTGACTTCAACTGCTTTGCAAAGTCATTGCCAATGGTTTCATCATACCACACTCACAAGGTTAGTCTATTCCACGCCTTAGGTCATACTAGAAGCTCCCAAGACTAAGACCTTCTGCTACTCTTACCACATGTGTCAAACCTCTCTATGTGAGAATGTATGATCATTAGAATGTTAGGAAACCCCCCAAGACTGAGCTACCTGCATTCATTCTAACACACTTGAATCCACACCAAGAAGTTCCACCTTGAAACTAACCTTCATAACTCTGAAACCATTGATATCACTTCACCTTTGCATATTATGTTAATACATGAGACTTGATCATACATTAAAGAAATATAAACACTCTTACAAGTCATCAGAAAACACATAATAACACAATTTCTTCATAACAACTTGATACTCACACCAGGCAAGGAAACAACTTTGAAACCCTCACCAATAGTTTTGAAAGAGTTCAAAACCTCCAAAACGACCTAAAGAATGTCCAAAACTAACACCCAAAACTCCGAATTTGATATTTCCAAAACCTGAAAAAAAAAAACCAAAACTGGTACAGTGGCGCTTAGTGCCCTGACTTTTGTTTTCTGGCGTTCGGCACCCTGTCCCCTTAAATAGGGAGCTCAATGCCCTGTTTGGACACTCAGAAGCTATCAACAAAAATTTAGTCTTTTTGGATTGTTTCTCCCACTTACCCCACAACTTCTAAAGACCCTTAGGACCCTTTAGACCTTGAAAAAACTCTGAAAACATTATTGTAAGTCAAATTAACCCTTTAAAACTCAAATTCAATCCTACAAGCTACCCAAACTCAATTTTACACTTATATCAGTTTATTAGCTGCATAACCAAATCTAATTACACTAAATAACACACTCTAGTACCTCTAATTGTTGTTCACAACCCTTATGTTTCAAGTTTTCACCCTTCAAAACCTCTAATTGTACTAAAAACACCTAATAATTTACTCTAAAATATCCCTAATAGTTCTACACTAGATTTTTCCCTTTTTAAAGCTTAGACAAGTCATAATATAGTTAATAACAAGCCCCCAATGTCTCAAACCAGTTTACAAACCTTGCCTCATGATTTCACTACTTAAAACCCTACTTTTACACCAAAAACACTACTAAAACTCACAAATAAACTACCACTTGTTTCGTAACAAATTTTACTCAAATAACACCTCTAACAAGACTTAAATTACCTCATGACAACACCTATACAACTACTTTCTTACTTTAGTCTCGCTTTCTCAAACTCGTTCAGCCAAACTCCGCCTATTTAGACTTAAAACTCAAGAATTTGACCAACCTTCACTCCAACCACTTGTATTCAATTTTAAACCATCATACCACTTCACTATACACAATTATAACATCAAAAACATTACAATTTCAGACTATCAAGAATTAAACAGGTCATACAATACTTGATCATCATCCATACAACAAAATATTAGTGCAAATATATACAATTTCATTTAATTCATGTTATCATACATAGTAAAATTAACTTTTAAAACACCAATAGAATTTTAAGACTAAGTCTAACTTTCCTTACCTCGCAAGAAATTATCTGACTCTAGAAACGTCCCGCCGATTATTTGAAACACAAGAAATTTCTAGACAAACCTACGAAACGCCAAATTAGAAACGGACATGGTCCTTAAAACTTTAGATTAACCAAGAATAAGTAGGAGAAGTATGATCACATATGCAATAACCCTTATTTCTTCTAAAAACATTAGGAATGAGAGGGAAAAAAAGTCGAAACTTAATTGCTCTATAATAGAAATTGATCGGCTAAAAATGTAGATCTTGTCGTTGTGATCGATTAGACACCTTCTGTCGTCAAAGAGATGACTTGTGAATTAGAACTCTTAGAAAAAAAAGTAAAGAAGTTTTAGTGGTTTATAGAAAAATGATACATTTTAAAATAATGAAACTCATTTATAACCAAACTATTTATAATAAAATTATTTAATATTAAAATAATTGAGTCTCACTATTTTTATAGACTACTCTCATTTATAAAATACCTCTCATTTATAAAATACCATTTTGTAAGGTTTCACGATAATAATAATTATTAACTTATTTATGTGAAGGGTAATTTTATAAAACTGTTACTAATTTTAATTTTACTTATTTTTATCCATTAATTCAATTGATTATTTTTTAAATTTGGATTAAAACTTTACTAAATATTATTATATTTTATTTGGTAATATTTTGTTTTTATTTTTATATATAGTTATAGATACTAATAAAAGCAATTGTGTGGTATTTTTTTATGATAATAAAAATAATCAAATTATTATTGTTTTAAAAATGAATAAATAAATTTTATAATTTTATTTTAATTGATTTTTTATTTAATGTTGTAGTGATTTTTTACTTGAAAAAATATTAAATTTAAAAAATAAACAAATTAAGAAAAATATTAAATTTAAATAAACCGACACTTAAAGTGTAACATTGATCAAATAATTATTTTAATTTAAAAAATATTTTAAAATAAATGTGAACATAAAAAAATCCATAATATTTATTTGTTTAGTATTTTTTATTATAATAGGAAATTATTTATCTTTCTTATATAATAAGGTCAATACATATTATTAGACAATATTCTAAATTGTTTAGGCTGAACCGACATCGGAAGATACATCCGAAAGATACAACTAACATATATTCAAACAAAATTATTGAGTTTATTAAGTATTGCTTATTAAAAATATCTATTAAACGCTGAAAATAAAATTAAAGTGTATTTCCCTTCATCTCTTTCAAATATGCTTTAAGATTATTTAAATTTAATAATATTTTGTGGCTTTAATAAAATATTTATAATTTTTTATTTATAATTTGATATCACAAAATATATATATTTGAAAAAAATATATTTAATTTTAAAAAAATATACGGATATTTTAATAATTTTTATTTTTAATTTAAAATAAAAAATAAATATTATTTAAATATTTTTAAGTTTAAAACTTAAAATCTATATATATAAGAGTTTTTTTTAACTAAAATTTGCACAGATTTACGTAGTTAATAAATTCATATATATATATATATATATATAAATTAAAAATTCATTAATAATACAAATATATAATAAAATGATAATTAATGTTTTTCTAAAATAAAAGTTTAAGAAGTATTTTTAAAAATATATATTTAAAATAAAAAAAATTAAAAACTTATAAATTTATCTAAATTTAATTCTTAGACAAATAAAAAAATTGTTGACCTGGTCAGTCAACAAAATAGTATTTATTATTTATATATTTAGCAACGTAGGGATAACGCAATCTGATGCTACATCGTGCGTAAGGACCACGCGACCTTGAAAAGTTGGAAGCCAGCGCGTCATTGCCGCCCTTGTAGGGTTAAACACCAAACCGCCATTGTATTAGTCTTCTTTTACAAAACTACCCCTCTATTATTGTAAAGAGACAGATAACAAACAGCTTTGCCCCACCGATAAATGAGCCGCACCTAACATTACACGTCACCAAATCCTCACCGTCAACCCAACAAATCTCAACCGTTCGATCCCAAAATCCCATTATAAAACAGAGCTTAGGTTCTCTACCTTCTTTCATTCAGCGCCTCTTCTTCTCAGCCTTATCTTCAACATTCTCCCAAACCTCCTTTCTGCAAATTCAGATCTATTATCTCTCGTACCTCTGAGGCTTCTTTCGTCACCGGATCGGGATGGATCTGATCAAGATCTACATGTCCATGTGGTTTCGGCTTGGTTCGATCAACTTTCCGTTGGGGTTTTACTCTGGTTAGGTTCGGTCTTACGTTATTAGCGTCTTGATTTTGTTATCTTCAATTTATATTATCCGCGTTTCATAGATCCGGTGCATGGAGACGTAGATCTATGCATAGAGGTTTGCGCTTCATGTCCGTCTTGCTTATTTCGTGGGAGAGTCCTTCGGTCTTTGTATATGCCAAGCCTCTTGAGGTGTTTTTTGCAGGTACGTGAGATAATCCATGGGAAGAAAGCTGATCCAACTATAGAACGATGGGTCCATCTACTGACGCTCTTTGGATCGTTATGGATGGATGCGTGTATGGATGATTTGGATTATTCAAGAAGCAGTGTTACCTCCTAGGCTGCATATGTTGCTGGTCTCAGATGTAAAATTATTGTATGATGTGAAGCTTTGAGGTGGAAAATATGTGGATGTAGGAGATTTCGGGATGAACGACCTCAAAACGATGAGTCGTTTGGGGTTGGGAGTCCTGAGTGATCTTGTCATCCGACCTTTGCCATGTCAGGTGCGCTTGCTTGGCAGGTCAAATAATTGTTAATAAAAAAAGTTTTGTTGGTTTCGGGAGAGATCGCACGGGAGTTGCCCGGGATCTCTCCCTCGTGTGGTGTGTGCTCTGCTCTCTTTCGTTTGCCTTTTATTATTACCTTTCTCTGTCGCTCCACTCCGTTATACATCTCTGCACCAGAGGGATTCAACAGAGGATTCGCTCCAACCATAAGGTATTATTTATCAATTTACAATCAAAAGGTTAGATGTTTCAATTCGCATAATTAAAGATAAATCAACAACCGTATACTTGTTTTTAAAATATAACAAACATCGTTGAAGCTTCAATAGTCAGCAGATCGAAGAATTTGTCATCTTCCGTTAATTTCATGTAATATTTTATTTAAAAGGTCGGTAATGTGAATAATGTCAATCTGAACTTTTTGGTAATCTTATAGGCAGAAGATGCTAGGTGGAGTTCATCAGTAGTTTCATTCTTAAAGGTAAAACGGGGTCTGTGTTTATAAAGGTATTTTAATTATGAATTACTTATTTGAAGCCGTTATCAGGCCAGTTTTCATGAAACAACGATACTATTAACGTCAATCCATGCCTATCTAATAATTACTTTCTTCGTTATTACTGTCTTGTCGAACAAGTTTATGTTCATTATTACTATTAGCGCAAAAGTTCTGTTGTCATTTTGTTTATGTTCATTATTGTTTCATTTCCCTTGTTTAATCCGGTGACGTCTTCTCATAAAGATTGATCATATGTAGTATTGTCGGTTTAGAACCATATACTTGTAAATTTGGTGACATGTAATAAGTTCAGCTTCGGCAGTCAACGTTTGTAATGCAGAAATAGCTAAATTTCAAAGCGTATAATTTTGAGGATTGTAGCATTGTTATGATTTGCCAATGGGATCTTCTGGCCAACATTGAAGTATAAATCTTCAATTATTTGAAGACGCTATATGGCTTCTGCTGGGGGAATTCACTGGGATAGGAGCTTTGTAGTGGATAATCTCGTGGATTGCGGAAGGTTCTGATTTAGGCTTCTATTTTTAAGGTGAAGATAATTTCGGCTCTCTACTACATACACAGAAAGTACATTTTTCTTTCAAGTTAATTTAAGTTTGGATTCATTTTTGGATGTGAGTTACGATGTTATTAAATCCCCTCGTCGTTTACCTTATTTACACTGTCAATATTCAGATGTTCATTTTTGGTTATTGTTGAAAACTTGGTTACACAAAAATTGATAATTCATGTTGTCAGTATTCAGAGCTATACAGAAATTCAATTATTAAGTTGTTTTAGTACCACAGCTATTCATGTTTACATGAAACATAGGTAGTATATATTATTTTACAGTGTTATTCGTTAGGATAAAGTTATTCAGATACTTCTTACTGCACTTAATTTGTTATAATCTTCAAATATCATATTAGCAGTGTTTGCCAGAACTGTTTTGTCCGCCTTACACATGTACTATCTAATTAATTTTTATTTGGTATATTTATAATGTTGAACTTTTGTTTGTCAAAGTGCTTGTGTGTTTTGTTTTGAATCTTCGTAGCGTGGTTTATGTTTTTTCTAGGTTGTTGAAGAATTGGAAATTTGTTTTATAAATCTTGCAGGAATTATGCAAGAATTTTTTACGATTTTATCATGGAAGCTTCTTTGTATACTGAATTTTTTATATTCAATATTTTTCTTGTGTAATCAAAAACATTAAAATGTTATCGACCGACATTATTGATAAAAGATTAACCTATTTAAAATTAGTTATATTTATTTATTTATTTTTATATTAAGTTAGTGGTATTTATAATTTTGGAGCCAGGAGAGTTATGTGCAATAATTAATAATAATATTGCCGAGAATTGGTTTCGGAGATGTTCAAAATAGCTTTTTACTTTTAATAATAATCTTCAAAATGAGAAGTGGAATTTATGAAGTAATTAAGTCGGTGGCTAAATTTTTTAATTTTTTAGCATATTTTAAAGTAATTATTGGAAACCATATCTTAATTTTTTATATATTAAGTAAACTCGTTTTTAAACCCGAGAGTTTATTGATATTCTAGTCACTAATTTATTGATAGATCTGTAAGCTCAAAACGGTAGAGCGATCAGAGCATTTTGTCATATGGCAACCTTATGCTCTGATAGGATGGTGGTTCGAATCCACCCTGATCTGTATGTTGTATATTATAATGCTTGGTTGCAAATTTATAATGCTAGATTTAGACGTATAACTATTTTTGTGCTTCAAAGTAAGTTTGTGTTTGTAAGTGGATTGCAAATTTATCGCTTTCACATAAACTATGAATATAAAGGATTAAGAGTCTTATTAGCTATTTAAATTTTAAAATTGTTCTTTTAAGCTCTTTTATTTAGAAAAGTAAAATAGTACTTTAAATTTATAAAATAGTTGGAAAATGTTTTATCTATTTTTTAGTATGATGGTTTTATTGAAAGTATTAATACCTTCCTTTTACATTTATAATATAAAGTAGAAGGGGTAATAATTTCGCTCTTTAATACATGAGTGTATTATTTTTCTGGTTATATTATTTTTTAATGATTTCAGTTATATGTTAAACTAATAATGTTGATTAATAAAATAGTATAATTTAGTTATATATTTGAAGAATTGAAAAAACATTTTTTTTAAGAAACAATATTATTTCTTAATCTAAAAACGTGTAATTATTTTTATTAATTTCTATATAAATTATTAGCAAATTATTTCCGTTTTAAAGAAAGTTATTTATTTTTAACAACTTTTCTTTAAATTATTAACAAATTATTTTAATTAGAATTTAGTATTATGTTAAGTCTTTTTTCATTTAATAAAAAATTAATTTTACTAACCATCTCTTACACATTCTTTGCAGAAAATAATGTATTTAAATGTGTTTACAATAATATTTTTGTGGAAAATTAATTTGTGAAAATTGTTACAGAATTTCATTTTCTCCTGAAAAGGTCAGAATTTCGAAACTCTACTCTGTCCCGTTCATTGGTACCTCCTCTGTTTGTATCTTGTCTACATGCATTTAATCTCTTATCAGATTTAGGTTTGATTACATCAATTTATCTTTCTATTTTGATTTCATTGATTTTCCTTTAATTTGATTTGTTCATGAAAGACTTTGATACCGATTTGTTTCACTATCCGAGTGTTGAGTCAAATGTAAAAGTAATTCATTCCCAGGGCGAAAGAAAGTCTGAATGATAACAATGTTGTATAATTAGTTATATATCCTGATGTAAATCTTCTCAGTTCAATTGATATCTTGTGCATACTTTCTTTTAGGAATGTGTGAATGTTCATAAATAATATGGACAGAGGATAGGAAATGCTTTCTTTACTTTAATATAACAATCATCTTTCATTTCTTGAGTAAATCATGGCACTTTTATTTGTATACAATCACTCACTGTTTAAACCGTACGTGCTTAAATGCCATTTTTTCAAATACATTACATCGCTTGGGAAGGGGTTGAATCCACCAAAAATCCTATATCTGATTTTCTGAATGGTTTATTGGAAAATAAAAGTTCATTTACTGGTTTTAACACTTTTCTTTCATTTTTGCTCAGTCTCTTTGAACTTGACTTGTGCTGCTGTGACCTTTTCTGAAGTAAGCCCGGCGGGCAAGTTCACGACCGATGATTTGGATGCAAACTCTAATATTCAAAGCTGCAGGTTCAATGTGTGGGAAACAGATGATCTGGTTAATCAAAAACTGATCTATTAGATTTTAATTCGTTGGAAAAAGTAAATTAGATGAAATAGACCCAAAACAAAAATCTTGGCCTTCTTAATGCAGGAACAAATTTGACACCAGAAAATTGTCACGAAACTGTTTCGGCTCCAACTTTGGTGACATAGTTTGTGTGAAAGACCTTCTACGCTTTTGTGTATGCTTGAGAACTAGTGCTCATTAGCCATTTGTTATAATGATTAGCTCATTTTTCGTTTATGCAGAGACACAACACATTATACTATTGTCCAACAATAGGATTCAAAGAGCCTTTGTTTTACGGAGTTTCTGGGCTGTTATACGCAGTTTTTGGGTTTTTCTATAAATGAACTGCTTTTTTTTTTTTTTATATGTATAATTGCACTGTTTCTATTGATTTTGCTATAAATTAGCAAAGGTGGTAATTGTTAATTGAATATGTTAATGTAAGTGATACCATTTGTGGGAAGAGGGTATAGAGCTCAAGCGTATATGCAGCCTGATTTGTTCACGTGGATTTGTGAGAAATGATTTAGAAGAAAGTGGTTGAATGAATTTAAGGGTAAATTTTTTATTGTTTGTTTGAGTGGATACGGAGGTAATTGAGAGTGGATTTGGAAGTAAAGTTTGTGATAATTAGTATAGATTTGATTGATGTGACAGATTTAAAAAAATTGTTTAAATAGTAAAAATTGAAGATGACCAAAATGTCCATAGTTATTAAAATAATATAAAATATTATTTGTTAATGTTATATTTAATTGTAAAAATGTTTATTTGTTAATGTTATATTTGATTGTAAAAATGTTTATGAAGAATAAAAAAATTAATTTTAGCCTTCTTATTAAACTAGTTAAACGTAAACGGAAAATTTAAAACAAAAAGCTTAATATACAAACGTTGATTTAGCCATTGAATTTGCTAATTGAAGGAATAAAGTAATAAAACTAATTAATAAAAATTTGAAGTCAAATAGTATAAAATAATAAAATTGGTAAATTAATTAATAAGGGAAGAAGGGAGAAAGAAGTTACTTGTGTGATGTGTGAGTGTAGGAAACGTTTGGAGTTAGGACAAAAAAAACATAAAGACATGTGTGGCAGAACAACTAGTGTCAAATGAACAACACCAATATAAACGCCCTTAGCGTAGAGTCTGTTGACTCAGTCTCACACAACACACACCATCCCCAAAAAAACCATTGATTATTTATCGACTGACTTGGTGGCAGACTCGACGAGGCGGAGATGGCGTTGTTGGAGGAGAAGCAAGTGGAGGAAGAGTTATCGTACCCGATTATGGTGGCGGAGCGAGTTCGCTAGGTGGTGGACGAGGCTGACTCATTCAAAGCTGAGTGC